TGAGGATATCTGAGGGTGGTGCTTTGGGTCTTCTACCGCACTGCCCACCTTTCTGTGAGCCTCAGAATACCAGATACTCTTTTTGACGTGGCTGGGTTTCCCCATTATCCCATAAAGGTGGTATCCGTCATTCCATATGAAGGTTCTTTGGTATGGCTCAGTTCACCCTGGACCTCCGTGCCAAGGTAGCAGCGTATGGGGAGAGATGCCAGGCTTTATGATTGAGCCACAATATGCTCGCTGTTGGAAGAGAATTTGATGCGCATTCTCCAGGGGACTTTGTGTTCTGTCCTTGGTCAGATAGATTTCCAGGGTAGTTGTAGATTGTTTGACCTCAGTGAGTTACGTTTTCCTGTTGAAGATACTGTCTGCGTGAGATTACTTATTCCAGGGTGCTTGCTTACTGGGGCAAAAGGTAGCTGTAGGAGTCCATCTTAGTCCTTGCTAGAATGGAGCTCTCAGACCTGCATGTCTGACTTAAGGCCTTGCTCCCTGTCCAGCAGTGAAAGGTCATCTTTAAAGGTTGGGTGATGCAACTGCATAGGCTCTCTCACAATGCTCAAATCTAAGGAGTCAGCCCTTTGAGTTTAGACTTAGGTGATTAGGCATTTATAAATTAAAAGATCATTAGTAGATCAAACTGCTTCTATTGGTCCCAGCTCTCTTGAGGGTCAGGTCTTAAGAAAGAAGGAGAGATCCTGGTTAAGGAAAGGACAGGTTGGGTGGCCAGGCACTAAGAAGGGGAGATGAGAATGAGGTGCTGGGAGGGGAGCAGGTGTGGGGGCCTGGGGTACAAGGAGGCCTGGACAGGGAGGGGAACCAGAGGCAAATGTTTCTTTCATGGTTTTTCCTGGAATCAACCCAAACTGTAGTTAAATTATGTATGTGTATTGAATAAAGTAGATTGGAATTTCAGTCCTGCCTGGAATTTGCATTTGTATTGAAGAGTTAAGATTTTTGTTAAAAAGAAGAGATGAGAGCCACGCTCACTGTTTCTCCTACACTGATCGGAGTGGACCTGAACCCTTGGGCAGACCTGAACCCACATAAATCCAATAGCCATGGTTTTGCTTCTTGCTTTGGCCCTCAGCCACAGTCTCATGGATGAGATGAGGTCACAGGCACCTGCAGAGGCACCTGCAGAGGCCATGGCTCTGTGATCAGACGTTCCCACCCAGACCACCCCTCTCTCTCACCTGATCTCAGATCCTTTGGTTCTTGAGAGGCTGAGGCCAGACCAGGGATAGATACCCTTGTAAGAATGCAAGGAGAACATGGACCTTCTCTGCAGAAAGATGCCCAGAACTAGAATTGTTATATAAAATGTCAAGGGCAGGGGTAGACCTCTTTAGGAGTGTCCAGAGGGCGCAGATGAAGAACCCCTCTTCTGGGGCACAGATCACTGTTGAGCCACCAAGGGGTGTCCCTAAACCCAGCCTGCCATGAAGCATTTTCCTGCCTGTCAGTTTTACTTGCCTTTCCCCCTTTTTGCTAATAGACAACACGAGTCACTTGATTTTTGTAGCACCTTATGCCTTAAGGTACACATATGGTAGAAATAGGGAGTCATAATTTTTGTGTTTGTGAAAAGCTTTGCTCTTCCAAAGTCTGCTTCTCTTTAAAGCATATTCCAATTCCATTTTCTTGTCAACTTTGCATACATTTTTATGGCTCATGTGCAGAGATCTCTGGGGGGTGGGGGATTGGAAGAGTCCTTTTGCTTTATGAATTTTCTTGGCATTCTAAGCCATTTCTCATATTTGGTTTTCTTCTGAGATGGTGAGACACTGTCCTGCAACCTTTGCTCACCTCAAGACAGTTGTCATTGCTTTACAGGTAGAAATCCAGAGAGATTAGAGGGAGTGGGCAGGCAGGGCTACCAAGGAGGGGAGCAGAACTTTGAGGGGGAGAAGGTGGGTGGTCACATGGGCCTGCTTAGGGAAAATAGACTTAGATTCAGTGACCATTGTTGATGTTTTGGATTTCCACCAAAGTAGCAGAACCCACAAACCTTTGACCCTAAAAGGGAAGGTTTTTCTGCCTTTGAAACGCCATCAAAGCCTAGTTCCTTAAGTCCACATTTCTTGCAGAGCCAGCTAACAAGTGCTTTGTGGTTGCTGACCAGTCTGTTTAGTTGCCGGTTGACCTCTTCCACACCCAGTTGACCTGTTGAATACTCCCACCTTTCTCTCCACTTGTCCCATTTTGGACCCACACCAGAGGGTGGTCTCACCTTTCTGCCAAGGACTGAGATCCAGGGTGGGCAGAATTGCGGGTGTTCCTCTAAGATGTTCATTAACAATGTGATGAATTACACCAGCTTTTTTTTTTAATCTTGGTTATTTATTTGAGGTTGGATAGGAGAATTTTTTGCTAATCATACTGTAAGAGAAAGGGCAAGTGCACAGATGGGAGACAGAAATACTGCTAGATCTTTGTGCTTACTGCACATCTTGCTCAGGGCCTGAGCCAATGAGGGGGACTTTTGTTAGGCTCCCCATGACCTGAGTTCCCTTGGCAGGATGTCAGAGCCACCAGTGAGCCTGGAGTGAGCCAGCTTCTGGGGTCTGTACATCAGCCTTAATTCTCTCTGCCTCAGCCCATGTCTCAGGGAGGCATTAGCAGACACAGAGGAAATGTGATGTTGATTAAAGTGGGAAGAGCTAGAGAGGTTCGTGTCCTCATTAATGTGTGTACTTAGTGTCATGTGGCAGGATCTTACCAGAGGCTTCCTGGCTACTGGAAATCGGACAAGCTGGGTTTAATTTTCTAGTAAGGCAGACAGCAGGAGGCGTGGTCCCGGGCGGTCTGTAAATGAGTGTGGCAATGAGTGGGAAGGATGGAGATTTATTTCCCCCTGTGCTGCCTTGCAGGCAAATGGGAAATCACATTTTCAGAGGAAAGAGTCATTCTTTGCTTCATAAAGGTTATGGCAGCCTCACTTGAGCTATTGATTTGTTGAGTTTGCAGTGAGTACTTTGTGAGGACAACTAATTTCAAGCAGGAATAATTGCACTAAAATTGTAGATACTTTTCCTGTTGAGATTTTTAAGGACTTGGCTCGCTGCTCCCACCCGCTGGGTGCACGATGGGAGTGTGAGTTGTTTTTGATTGTCCTTTTTCCTCTCAAAGCAAGATGCCCAGGACACTGCCCTGTCCTCTGGCCCCAGCTGCCCCTGGGTCAAGGGGAAGTCTGCTTCTACTGATTACTGCCCACCAGGTCCCTGCAAACAGCTGCACCTTTGCTGTTGAGGGGAGAATCGTGTCCCAGCTGTCTGATGTCAGTGGCGTCCCACCGGGAAATGCAAGCTCACAGTGAAAGGAGACAGCCACCTGCCTTCTCGTCAAAATCAGAGGAGGGAGAAGGAGAGTCAGGCGTGCAGGCGGGTAGGGAGGGGCCCTGCTATTCCTTGCATCTGCCATTCAAGCCCATAACTGCTGTGGCCCTGTGCCCAGCAGATGGGTGTCCAGGAGGAGAGGCAGGGTAGCCCCCTGGGCTCTGACTGTAAGTGCTAGGCTCCTCCACTGCCTCCCTACCTTCCCAGGGCAGGATCAAGGCCACCATGCCTCCACCCTCATCTGTGTATACTTCAGTGAGACAGGATCGGGGTCACAGGGGCAGGGGTGCTCAGTTATTTCAGTATGTTCTAGCAAAGCAACTTTCTGGTGATGTCAAATAACATACATACAGTGAAGCTAGAGAACCAGGCACATGATGGAGAAAACTTGATGTTAGGCTCGGGGAAAGCCCTGTGGGTTTCAGAATTGGGTTATTCAGAGATAATTTGAGATGTTTATGGAAAATGTCTATTTCAATGGAGATTTTAAAAAATGCCTACCACAGAGGGGAGGAGCACCATATTCCCTCCCTGGAGTGTTGGTAAAGAATGCCAGCAACATTAGTATATTAGACCAGACAATTACAACCACCTTGCTCATTCAAATAACCTTTGCATGTTGCAGGTGCCTTCAGATAAAATTAGATGATTCTGTCTAATGAGGTTTATAAATCATGAGTTTTTGCATGGATAGATGGGCAAGTCTCTATTTTTGTGTATTTAATATCTTTGAGCTGCATTTCTGTACATTGAATCCATTATATATGACCTGCCATTGATAATTAGAAACAATTGTATTATGTTTGTGCTGCCTGCTTTGGCTTCCATATAAACAAGTACCGTATGGACAAAGATAATTGTGGAATAGTGAATAAGGTTACTTCTTTGAACAGAATTCTGGGACAACTTTAAATTACATCCAGAGTCCTTGATAGTTGAATATTGGAAAATTTTTTGCTTAGTAATCTCCCGTGCACTACTTTTTTTTTATTAACTTGCCCATTAAACTATGTAATTTGAAAAATTGTGAGTCAAGCAAGCTTGCATCAAAGAAAGCAGGCTCTGTTGGCCAACACTAATCTCAGCATTATTATAAAACTTGTTTCTTCTTAAATTTTCATTTTTGTCTCCCTCCCTAAATTAATGCGAACTCTGAGCCCTTTTTAACACTTGCTACAGTAATATTAATCAATGTGAGTAGAAATAAATCATCTCAAAGGAAATTTTCCCATAAAGTCAATTTCAGCCAGTCCCAGGGGTATCTGATGTTTGCTTATTAACAGGAAAATTTACATTAAATATAAAATGTCCTGGATTGTGCATTTTAATAGGGGAATATTGTTTGGGAGTAGCCAAGATAAGGGGGCTCATACCGTATATTATAATTTCTTGAAGATGAGGAAGCTTGTTGTCAGAGGAAGTCCTTAGGCCAGAAGTCCACTCGGAGGGAATTGTGGGGAGAATGTAGGGCATGCATAGTGGCTAAGGCACCCCTACAAGGCCTGCACCCTGAAAGAGACATCGTCTGCCTGTGCCAATGGGACTGGTTTATGAACTCTTCCCAGGGTGGGACTGGTTGTTGCTAAGCATTTGGCTTCGTTTTATTGTGCTTCTAATTTCTGCTGGACCAGTTGCTGATTTTTACTGATGGTCTTATTTTAGCCAAACTCAGGCCCTGAGTTGGTTTTGTCCGAAGATGAGAGAAGTGACACTGAAGACATGGAAGAGACAGAGCTGGGTGTCGTGGAGGATCAGCGCAGTGTGATTCTGCACCTCATCTCACAGCTCAAACTTGGCATGGACCTGACCAGGGTAGGTTGGCACGTCCCGCTGGGTTTGTGGCTGGGGCCGTGGGTTCTGCCTTTAGCCCCAAGCCCTCCCTGCGTGTGCTTTGCTTTGCTGTGGTGATGTTGGAAGCAGGGAGTGGGGGCCAGGCCGGAGCTGCAGTCCAGTGTGATAGTCCAGGTATAATTTGGAAGGATATTTTTACACCAGTGCTTATCGTTGGAGCCGGAGCCTTGCGCTTGATTCTCCGGAGTTGCTGATGCCCTACCGGGGCAGGGAGAAGGTCAGAAAAAGCACATGAGATGGTAAGGAAAATTCAGGGTAGGATTTCTGTTTTCTGCTGAGTTCTAGAGAAAACCAAAAGTGCAGAGACAAACAGGGCACACTGGCCAGAGAGATAAGCAGGAGGAAGGCCGCTATGTGCCTCGCATGGCCTGCTGCCGCTGTGCATAGCTTTAACCGCTAGTGCTCTGAGGACAGCCTTGTGGGTGACCCCATCCCGTTGTCCACATGGGAGGAAGCAAACCTGCAGGCTGGTACAGTGTAACTAGCTCTTCTTGGTGCTGCTCTTGGTCACGAGTCACCCTGAGGAATGTCTCCAAGAGAACCCAGTGTCCTAGGCACTGAGGGTAAGTCAGTGGGCCCGCAGGGACCCTCCCTCATCCTGGGTCAGTGCCTTCATTCTGGAGGCAAACAGAAGGAGCAGTTGTGCATATAGCCGAAGGGCTGTATGGTGCCATTGGGGGCCCGGGGCGGTTGGAAGTGCCTGGGTTCCATCTTCAGCTGGATGCTCTGGGTCTGCCCTGGAAGGGCACCGTGAGAACTGGAGGTAGCGTGCAGAGCCTCAGCCTGATGCTGACCGTGCAGAGCCTCATCCTTCCTCCTGCATGAAGTGCTGCCTTGGCAGTGTGACTGTGTTGGGGAGACCTGACCTGAGGGGAAGGCTGGCAGTGGAAGTTCTAGGTTCTGAAGTCCAGCCGGAAAAACGTGGGCACGCTTGAAACACTGGGAGCCCGTGGAGGCCACACTGAAGGTAGCTGGCTTGTTTGACTGCAGCGAAGGGTCTGGGTTCCCTAGGTCACCTCAACCTGGGCTGGAGGCTAGAGACGGGGAGGGGTAGGCATGAGAGCTTCTTTGAGGAGGATGACAACATGGTGACTGATGGGTCACAGGGGACAGAGACATAGGAGCTGCAGAGATGACAGAAATGTTTCCTTTAGAATGCTTTTATGTGTTGAATGTGAATGTGCCTGGTATTCTGGGAGACTGCAGCACTTTAAACAAAATATGGGCCAGTCTTGAGGAGGCCTGGCCCTGAACAGTTCCTGGCTTTGCCACTTCCTTCCTTCCGGTGCTGGGATCTGCCTGCCTGGCCGCCGCTGGGAGGGTCCGCTGCATGTCATGCTGCCTTCCCTTAAATCCATCCTCCTAGCTGTGTAATCCTCATGTCCTTTCTATTAGAAGAATCACTTAAATGCTTGACTTAAAAAGCCACCTCTGTCTCATTCTTATGAATTGTGTAGACAATTCAGATGGAGCTTGAGTTTAAGGTCTGGGGGACAGAATGTGGGTAATGACATCCACCAGTATGGTCTAAAATCCTATCTCCAGGCTGTGTGGGCCATGAGCCATTTAATAGGTGGTAAAACCAATTTAGTGGGTTGGATGGTCATTTCTAAACAGTGAAATAAAATAAAATAGAAAATATCATAGTGAGTGAAACTTTCATACTAGTTCTCTCAATACATGTGTCCTGGGTCACAATGCAAAACATACTCTCATTGTGGATCATATTAGAGCAATATTTGTAAAATATTGAGGTAGAATCATGAATGATACAAGAGAGAGACCGTCAGAGTGGCTGAAATTGTCCAGGTCAGATGTGGAGACACCGTGACAAACGAGGGGTCTGTGTTGTGGGAGGCTATGTGACTTAGAGATGTGATGTGATGGCTCTCTGTTTTAAAATAAAGAAGTCCTTAGAACGCTGCATCCCTATTATTATTTATTAGGATATAATTGCTTTGCACCTCTGGAGCCATGATCTGTTCCTGTAAGAGCAAATACTGTGTTTATCCAATACTCAGTTGGCTATCTGAAAGAAACACTTTTCTAGTTTCTAGTTTAGTGACTTATTTAGTGGGAAGAAGCTATTAGTCAAACACCAAGGGGAAATTTGACAAGCTGAAATACTTGTGAGAGGAAGAGGGAGTCCTTATTTTCCCCAGGGTTTCTGGCATTTGTTGTCCTGCTTCATAAAAAGGTTGGTGAAGTTCTCTTTCCTCATTGTGGCCTTCCCTCTTTGGTGCAGTTACCCCTGTCATTAAGTTAAGCTTGTGCTAACTCGGCAGTGGGAGAATTTAGCCCGAAAGGGGTGTAGGATGAGCAGGTGCCCCAGAGGCAGAACCTTCCTGACTCCAGGATGGAGCTCTGGTCCTTTTCCATAAAATGGTTGCTGCTCCAGCTTTGAGGCGGTGGCTGGTACTGACGCATTCACCTGCCACCACCCTACCTGGGCATCTGGTGCTGCATTTTTTTTATCTTCATATATATTTTTTTTATTGAAGTATCATTTATTTACAATCTTATATTGGTTTCAGATACACAACACAGTGGTTCAGTAGCTCTGGTGCTGCAGTTTGCCGTGGTCACGTGACTGTGGTCCCCAGGCAGGGCTGGTTTCATGGGCATGTGACCGGTGGGGTCCCACAGGACCTCTTAAGCAGAAGCATCCTCTGCTTGGTTTAACGTTCTGCTCTTGCTGACTTGCAATTTTTAGTATTTTGAATGAGGGGCCTTGCATTGTCATTGTTCACTGGACCCCACAAAGCCTGCAGTGGTCTTCCCTCCAGAAGCAGACCTCCTGTCTGCACCCTTCACCTTGGCTGTGGCTCTAGAACCTGAAGGTGCCGGCAACTCCCCCACTGGGGAACCTGCCACACTTCTGCACATTGTGGGCAGCTTAGAAAAGACAAGAGGAAAGGAGGGACCCAGAGAGATGGGGTGCCACAGAAGGGCTCTTTGAGGAAGGGACATCTGGGTTGAGCTTGGAGGATGAGTGGGCATTAGCGCGAGGAAGGGTGTTCTGGCAGAGGGAACAGCATGGACAAAGCTGGTGAGGGAAAGGCAGTGTGGCCGAGCACAGCACAGAATGTGCTGAGGAGTGGCGCCGCTGACCCTTGAGCCAGTGGCGTGGGAAGAGCCTGCAGGGCCTTGTGGGCCAGGGAAGGAGGGTCCGCTTGGTCCTGAGGGCAGTAGGAAACTTTAGGAGGGTGTGAAGCAGCGTTCAGGTGGAGCTGAGGTAGCTGCTATGCCACATCCTGGTTCCTGGGAGCAGGGCTCCCCAGATACAGTGAGTTTGGAGGTTTAGGACTGACTTGCCCTGGTTTGCAGGGTTCTGAAAGGGGGCAGTGAGTCATGCACAGGTTCACTCACGAGCACATGTTTATTGAGCCCCATACCTGCCAGGTGCTCTTCTGGGCACTCGGAGTGCAGTAGTGAACAGAACAGCATCCACATCCTCATGGAGCCTGAGGGGTAAGGGAGGGGACAGACAATGAGGTTGAAAAGGACAGAGTAGAGTGAGGTGGTGGTGTGAAGGGCAGTGCTGGGAAGGTGGGAAGCCATGGGGCGGCCGGACGGGCACGCAGGTAAACTGGTCTGGGTGGGATGGATTCTCCTGGTACTGCTGGCCTAGAGGCCAGATTAGAGTGAGGAGGTCAGCCAGTTGTATGTGGTGGAGGCATGTGCTGGCCAGAGGGAGCAGTGGGTGCAGAGACCCTGGGCCTTGTTTGGCCTTTGCGGATAAATAGGGAGGCCAGGGCAGGGGGTCAGAGTAGCCTAGTGGGTGGGCAGCTTGTTCATTTGGCCAGACAGCAGGGTGGGCTCAGAGGGCCTCACAGGACCTTGCACCTGGGATGTAATTCTCGGTGATGGGTGGCCCCTGGGGAGTGTTTAGCAAACTTGTATTTTTAAAAAGGATTATTTTGACTCTTGCATGGAGAGTAAAGTAGGATGGGGTGAGTGGGTGCAGGCTGCAGGGGTAAGCCGGGGGAAGGGAGGAGGTGAGAGGCAGGGCAGCAGTCACGCTTAGAAGTTGGTGTCCAGAGAGTCTGCATATTGGATGTGGAATATTCAGTAAAGGAAAGAATAAAGACTGGCTCTGAGATTCTGACCTGAACAACAAGAATAATAAAAATTAGAACTGCCATTTGTTTCAATACCTATTGCTGAGGAATTAAGCAGCCCAAACATAGTGGCTTAAAATGACCGTCCCGTCTGTTCTCAGCTGGGCAGTCCTGCTGCCGGCCTTGCCCGCGGTGGCGTGGGCGCCTGTCAGCAGCGGCTGGGCCGGGACAGTTGCGCCTCTCTCCTTCTGTGAAGCCCCAGGACCTCTCTCCCTCCATGTCTCTCCCCACAGTGTCTCCTGGCTGCTTAGCCAGGCCCCTTAGGGGGCTCAAAGCTTCCAGGAGAGCAAATGTGGATGCTGGGAAGCCTTCCAAAGGCGAAGGCCCCGGACTGGAATGGTGTCACTTCCAAACTGCCACAGACCCGGCCCGGACTGAAGGGAAAGGGACTATGCACGGGTGTCAGCCCCAGGAGCTCCTGAGGCAGCAGACTGCCACTCCCTTTACCGAGGAGGGGAGACTGGGGAGAGGTTGGAGGTGCATGACGTGGATCCGTGTTGGATCTGTCAGGTCTGAGATGTCCATCTATTATGGTCCGAGCAGAGAGGACGTGTAGGCAGTCAGGCTTATGCATGAGGCTCGGTTACGGGTTTGAGAGCAACACTGTCTAGAGGTTGTTCAAACCAGGAGATGGGGCCGAGCTCCCCTCGGGGTGATAGAGACTAGTGGACATCCTGACTCTGTGCAGGGTGGTGGTTGGGGGAGAGGATGTGCTAGGAGACTGAGGTGCTGGCTTGGGTGTTTGCCAAGTCCGAGTGGGTGGGCTCAAGGGGGAATAGGAAGAAAAGTGGTGACAGGCAGGAAAGACAGCTGTTTCAGGAACTTTGCTGTAAAAAGGGA